TTTGTTTGCCTTTATCGAATTCCAATCTATAACTATCATCAGTCACAATCCTTATTCTAGGGATTAAAACAAAAGTTTACGTGCAAAAAATAGTCACGTAAAAGATAAAAGGCCTAAGAGTTCATTTATTTAAAAATACTCGCTTTTGCTCTTGCTATTAAAACAATATAAAAACGTAAAGCGGAGTGCGTGTTCTTGACTTGTTATTTTTAGGCGTCTAGAGAAAAGAGATTTTTTACTTTTAAATTATTTACATTTCTTTCTATTACAAAGAAAATATGAAACTTTTATTTTAATGAGTATGAACCAGTCTTCGTAGTGAAAGGAACCAACATGAAAATTACTCCTCAAAAAACGAAACAAATTGTTTCGATGCTATAATCGGGTCTATCAACCAGAGAAATGGCTCGACAGTGTGGCGTCAGCCAAGCGGCAGTGCAAANCAGTGTGGCGTCAGCCAAGCGGCAGTGCAAAAAATAAAAAATAAAGGTTGTCCTAACGCTGCAGCCCGACTAAAAGGAAGACCTAAGTGTACTACCTCGCAAGATAGGCGAAGACTTGCTCACTTTTTACAGACGGGAGAAGCATTTTCATCTTCAATGGCCAATATATTGCAACAACACACGGGAAAAAAGTGAAAAAAGCTTCGAGAGTTTTTAAGGAATAAATATTTGTGTGTGCCAAAAAAATGAAAATACCCGCAATTTCCAAATAAATTATGAATAAATAAAATATGAAGGCTAGGCTAAAGTTTGCTAAAGATCATAAACATTGGACAGAACAAGACTGGAGGAAGGTAATATGGTCGAATGAAACCAAAATCAATAGATACTGCTCTGACTGAAAGTCTTGGTTCTAGAAAAAGACTGTCGAGAGCCTCAAACTTCGGTAGATGTAACTTTTGAAGCTGTTATTTTTTGACATTTGACAAATAGAAACTACGCCATTAATAAAAATGGAACGATACACGCTTCAACAACGCATTGAAATTATTAAAATTCACTATAAAAATGGTGAAAATTTGGCAGAGACGGTTCGTAAAACTCAAACATTTTTGGGTCGTCGTGAAGCAGCTTGTCGGACCGCAATCCTGGAATTGTTGAAAAAATTCGAGCTTCAATTTTGTTTTCCAAATACATATGCAATTTTGAATAATTTAAAACATATGTGTTATAAACATTTTATAACCCTTTTTTAGAATTTTCTCATTAGTGTTCACATTTGCTCGTCACTGTATACGAAAGAATTTGTATTGATTTATTATTATAATTTTCTAACAAAAAAGTAATTAAAATAAAGATTTTATCTTATTGAATCAATTGCGAACAATATAATTATTAAATATAGGGTACGAATTAGAATATCGAAGTTAATAAAATTAAAACATCGAAAGGTTTGTCGAATTGCCTTTGGATTACAACATTTTGCTGCAAAATACGAAGTAAATCAATATTTATTATTCCAATTATTTATAATTTATAATTTGAGTAAAGAACGATAAAGCAATAGATCAATACTCTCTTCATTAATTTTACTAATTTTTACGCACTTTATACATATACAGTGTATATGTATAAAGTGCGTATATTATACACACAATATATACAGAATCTCTAGAGTCGGTGCTTACCAATGTACCGCCTATTAGACTTATAACGTTGACACATTTACTACTTGCATACATAAACGATTTTGGAATTCACAGCCACCGTGCCATTATGTGCAAAGATAATGGAATCAATTTTTAGACAAGCATTTAGTAGATATTTGTAAATTTGTATAGGTCTCTCCGTCAGATATAAGTATACCATTTAATACTATCCGGGAGAATTAATATTTTGTTTAATTAACACAAATGAGTAAAAAGTTATAATAAAAATAAATATTAAAGCAAACATAAGTTTTGACAAATTTTCTAAATAAAAAATTTAAAAATGGTTGTCAACACTTCAATAAAATTGTCATTGTTTAAAAGTACTACTACTAAATAGAAGTAAAATCGTTTTTTTTTTTTGATTCATTATCATATAGAGTAAACATAATGCCCGAAATAAATCATGGATGGTAATACAACAACCATTAAAACTATTTAAATAATATATTCAATAATTTAGTAAATTTAAAATCATTTTTTTTTGCTTGTTATATTTATGTGGCTAGCGATAAAAAAATTAATTTAAGTAGACTAGAATATAGCTGTTATATAAGTTTAAAAAAATTTTCATTATTTTTCATAATAATTAAAAATTAATTTTTTTTTTTAATGGTTAATTTTTTTCAGCTTTTTGGTATTTTTTGACGTATGTGAGTTTTGATCTAATCTTCTCATTTGTGTATGAGACCATCAATAAATTAAGAGATTGCATTTTAATATAAATTTATACTATAACACAGTATTGATATAAATGGTTACTTTTATGATTTTGATTAACTATTAATTAGGAGTAAAGGATGATAACATTTATTTTTAGGGGGTCTCTGTTATTAATTTCAATGAGTTTATGGATTAGTAAATCCAATTTTTGAATAGAATTCATTTTCTTTTCTGAAAAGTACCAATATGATTATGGACTAGTGAGCTGAAATGAAAGCACAGCAGAAGACATAGCTTAATGATATTAAATATCATTATCATTGACTTTAAATCACAGATTACTAGTAAAATTTAAGTGTTATTTACAATAAATACTTAGATGACGTAAATAAAAATTAGCAACTTACCGTCATAATCTGAAAAAATATACCACACATTTTTTTATTTAGATCTTATCTATTAAAAATAAATACATCACTTATTAATAGCCATTAATAACTTAAAAATATAAATTATTTTAAAATTAAATTTTGATTTTTAACAAAATGATAATTTCTTTAGCTTTGATGTGCAGCTGAGAAAATATTGGTTTTAACCTAATGTAATTAATCATTTTTTATGTAGGTGCTTAAGAATTCTTAGCTTTTAAAGGACCGATTTTGTCTAAAATCCCCAAATTCAATCTAATTATGATTCCAGACACAACCGGTTGATGTATCTGGATATTTTTTTTACTCATAATTTACATTAATGATCTTTAATTTAAAATAATTAAGAACAAGATAAGTATTCAGTTCCTATGCAAAACATTACTAATAATTCCTCAAAATTATACGATATTTTGTATTGATTCTCTACTAAAGTAGTTATACTTAAAGTGGTAAAGTAGAGAAGGTATTGGTTTTACTATGATGTGTTTTTTTTTTTGTGTGCCTATTACGACTTTTTCTCAGCTATCATGAAACCGATTTCTTTCAATGATACGTCAAAAGATCACAAATCGTTTCTAGTCTTAGACATTACCCTAAAAAATTGAAAAAATTTTCCTCGTTTTCCATAAATCTCAAAAAAAATAATTACAAATTTAAAAATCGCTAATTTTTGACATTTTTTAAATTTCTTTTTACTTAAAATTGCCATAAGTTTTTCAAAAATGACCAAATCAATATAATTTTTTTTATAGATTCATGATGTCTTTAACTTTCTTTTAGTATATATTTTTTTATAAATCTGTCCACACGGAGGATGTAAAATGACAACTTTTTCACAAAAAAATAATTCTTGACAGTGTTTCGAAAAGTCTGACACTTTTATATATATCTTAAATTACAGTTTATGTAATATAATTTATTATGGAAAAAAAAAATTCGGACTTTATATTATCTTCACGGTGAAAATGGCTACTGAACGCTATTTTTATGTGAAAATTCTCGATATTATATTTTACATTTTTTACTTTATAGTGTTATAACTTATTGAAAAGTGTATGGATCAACACTTTTTTTAAGAGAAATAATGTTTATATCTCTTTTTCATTCGACATACTTTATCTTAATCAAGATATTAATAAGGAAATAGCAGATTATGTAGCTTTTGGAATAATCCACCAATTTTTTTAAAATTAAACACTATCAATAGATTTGTATCGAAGCGTTTATATGATAGTGATTTTAATCAATAAATAAAAGGAGAAAGTTCACTTTCTTAATTCGATTATTCTGACTTCTTCAGTTAATTAATATCCTAAACATGACATTGAAATTGTAATTTAACATAAGCCATTGGAAACTAGAAATTTTTTTTAGAAAGAGCAGCCTTAAAATTTCTTAGATATACTTTTAAATATATCTGGTTTTCGGTCTCTTAGAAATCTCTATAATACGTTTACTATTTAATTAATAAAATGACGTAAAACTTATACGAATAACGGTAATTTTAACATATAGAAGAATAGTCGCCGTAATGGAGAACGAGAGAAAATTTTTCAATTTTTGAGTGTAATGTCTTACATTAGTTAAGATTTTTGATCTTTCGGTGTATTTTTGAAAAAACCTGTCCAGTGGGAGCTAAACATTTTTATAGACCACACAAAAAGAAAAAAACAAATCATAGTAAAATTAATACTTTACAGCTTCCCATTAAAGTTAAAATATCATCATAGACTGTTTTATAACAATTGCAATTTGTTCAAAAGTGCAATTTTTCAAAATTATTGTGTTAATAGCTTCAACTATATACGTTTTGTGATATTTTGATGCATTATATTTCGAGTAATGGCGTATACAGACACATATTAGTAAAATAAAAAATATGACAATGTGAAAACAATAGCTTCTCAACTAGGTATTGAAGCAAATAATAGTTATAATAATGCAAAAACTAAGTTTGAATAAAATAATCAAATACTCACTCGATTCTAATTCTACGTTACAATTAGGACACGTAATTGATGTATTTGACAATCTATAATCTATACATTTTTTATGTGTCTTAGTTTTGCAACACTCAAGTTCAGTTACATCATCATTTACATCACAATCACTATTACATATTTTACATACTAAAAAAAAAAATTACAATTAAGAAATTTATTTAAGTTTATTAAATCATTTTGTTTGCTCTATTATTCAAAAATTTGATTGTCTTTAGTTATTTAAAGTTTAGGTGTTTAAAAGTGGTCAAGTTATTTGACTAGGACTCAACCAAGCTGCTGCTAAAAATCATAATACAATTTTTTTAGCTTAAATGAACCTTCAGTTACCAAAAATTGAAAAAAGGCTTAAATTTTAGTAATTTAAAAAATATTTGAAAATAACGTTACCCTAAAAATCACTATTAAAAAAAATTTTTTTTTTGCATTTTAAAACTGCAAAAACACTAATTTTAATGAAGTTTTAATAGTGTATAGTGATATAATACTTTTTTTTGGGATGTTTTTTATAAAAAAGCAAAGATAAACGCAAAAGCCTTGGTACATGAAGGTTTTGAAAAAAACCACTAACGCACTCAATTTTTCAAAATGTTTTGTAAAGTCTGACCATTTTTTACGTTTATCATATTAAAGATTTTAAAATGTAATAAAGTATAAAAAAAATTGTCCGATGATTGATCTTTTATGAAAAATTAATATTCAAAGTAAAAAAACCTAAATAAAAAATTTACTTTCAATGTTTTAAAGTGTTCCAGGATGTTTGTTTTCTTCAAACTTATACCAAATTAAAGTTTTATAAGCGTAAATTTGCCGTCAAAGTAAAAAAATCCCAATTAAAAAAATAAACAATCCACTGAACAATTTTTGTAGGCATTTTATTAGTAACATTGTAGTTTAAAATTTATTTAAATTAATCTTTTAAAAATATTTAACAGATTTGCATTGAAACGTTTTATCATGATAGTGATTAACATCACTATCAGATATACATCGTCGCTTGTCCCGACTATGCCGTGGTCCTACTGTGCAGGGCATGGTTTTTTTCTGATAATGTTTTATAAAACCTCACTTCTTTAAACCTACATTAAATTATAGCAATGAATGACTAAGAAAAACTATCCGTGAACTTGGATTCGAGAAGTTTAACTTCTAATAATAATGGATTATTTTTGAAGCCAAAAATCTAAACTAAAATTCGAGTAAGAATATCTTATTTTGTAGTATATTTCATATTAACAGAATACTCGCAATAATCTTAATAATTTCAAATTGAATCTTGTTTAATATAAAGAAAAAAAGCTTGTTTTTTATGAGTTATCAACCTTTTATATCAAAATTAATGTAATATTTGATAAATGTGATATTTTTTTTAATTTGTTTCAAATGTATTGCAATGTTTTTGAAAGAGTATTTTCAATCCCAAATACCAAATATGTCAAATATCAATAAATATTAATCTAAATAAATTTTTTATATACACTACTCTGGATTCCGACAGCACTAAATTTTTTAATTTTAAATTCATAATGAAAGACATTCTTGATAACAGATCATAATGAAATTTTTATTAGTGATGAATATTAACTTAATGAAATTATACTTCTTTTAAATTTCATCACGTAACATAGTTCAGGTAAAAATAAAAAAATGCATGAAGATCTTTTCTTTTTAATTTTTAAAATGTTCCGAATAGCCTGCTTTCTTTAAACTTATTTTAAATGTATAAAATGTTCTTTAACTTGAAAAAAACTCAAAAAATGGTTGATTTCGTTGTATTTAAAATTATCAAAAAAAACACGCATTCTTCTAAACTATAACAAATTAATGCTTGTTAAATTTAATATAAGATTAAAGTTAATTGATGTTCCAATTTTTTGACTTCTATGAGTAATTGAACTTTATAGCAAAATAAATATAGTTTAAAAAAACTAAAAAAACACGCTTTTAAAGCACATCGAACTAAAAAGTTAAAAATAATTTTTAAAATAAGCTTAAAACAATAATGAACGAAAAATACTAGTATTATTGTAATAAAAGCGTCGGGCGCTCAATATACGAAAAATATGGCACAAAGCACCCACGCTTTTATTACAATAATACTAGTATTTTTCGTTCATTATTGTTTTAAGCTTATTTTAAAAATTATTTTTAACTTTTTAGTTCGATGTGCTTTAAAAGCGTGTTTTTTTAGTTTTTTTAAACTATATTTATTTTGTACTTTTTAGTTTCAAGTTATGATAGTAGTTATGGTTGTAACGGGTAACGAGAAATGAGGGTTCGATTCCGGAGAGGGAGTCTGAGAAACGGCTACCACATCCAAGGAAAGCAGCAGGCGCGTAAATTACCCACTCCCGGAACATGGAGGTAGTGACGAAAAATGACGATACGGGAATCATCCCTCGTAATCGGAATGAATACTTTATATCTCTTAATTAGAATAAATCGTGTTAATATATAAATTTTAATAGTAATTAGAATATATATACAAATAATGCAACTTAAGTACGTAAACGTATCATGCACTAGGTATAACCGTATTTTGTGGGCGGGCGGGTCGGACTAACGTTATACCTGAGGTATAAACGGTGGTAGGAATATATAAATATATATACGTAAGGCGCATTAGACGCGGGCGGTATTGGTCAGTCAAAATAAAAATTTGTTTATATATATATAATATTGATGACAAGCACGCGTGTACGGGTACGATAACTAAAAATAAATTTTTATAGGAATAGTGTGCCGTCGTGTGGTGAGCGAGGCGTGGGGAGGGGTGAATGCGTTATGACAGTCTAGTCTAGACGACGGAATATGCGATAACGCGTGGCGTTTGGAGAGTTACAAACATACATACATACATGCAGGTGAAACTAATATAAGCGTGTTAAAAATTATTTTTTTTTGTAGATAGGATCAATTTTTTAAAAATTATATAAATATTTTATAACATTAATTATTTTATAATATATAAAACTATGCAACTATTTGTATTATATGAAAATTCTTTATAAAACTTAAATTCAAAAATGTATATTTTACAAATTAAAAATAGGTTGATATTTTTCTGAAGAGTAAATTTAAATATATTAAAAGATTCCATACCTGCCACAAATTTGCCATTACATAAAGGGCAAACTTTTTCATTACTATATTTTGACCAATCATACATGCATATAAAATGGAATTTCTTTTTACAACATTCAGTTTTAAATATATCTTCCATAGGTATTTCTTGACATATTGCACAATCTAAAAAATAATAATTTATGAAAATTAGAATTATTATAAACATTGTAAATTTTAATAGTTTATAGGTTAAAAGTCCTTTATTGTTTTGGATAAACTCATAAATGTTAGACCATCCTCAATTCATCTCTGTTAATAGCGCACATTTCTGTTATTTTTATCCATCATATGGTGTTCCCAGAGTGCTTTTTTAATCCCTTTATTTTTATCATATTTTTTATATAGAGAGTGATTCGCTAACTATGTCTCACATAATATCTCAAAATTATAATTATTATAAAGAATTTTTTTTTAATTATTATGGATCTTTGATGGGTTGTTTCACAAGAAAAATTAAATTTCTACCAACATTTCATATTATTAAAATTTGTATCAATTTTAGATTTTTAAATGACAACACTACTTTTATTATGAAGAAAAAATGCAGTAATTTTTCCAACACAGTATAATTATTATTATACAGTAGAGTCTCGCTAATTCGGACTAGATGATTCGGACTTTAGCCGGATTATCGAAAATCCGGATTTAAAGGAAGAACGTTTTTTTAACTTACTTATATTTACAAAAAACACCTTTATGTTTTTATACAAATTCAAAATTAATTCTATTTACAATTTTACATTACATCATTTTATTATTATGTGGTCATATGACAATACAAATTTATTAAAAATTAGAAAATTTTTTTAAAATTTAACGTTAGAAGAAAATAAAACTGGACTCACTTGTAAAAATCCGTGATATTTTTTTGTATTAGTGAAGAATAACATAATTTCGCTGTACCTTAAAGTCAGTAACTCAGTAGAAGATGTTTCACTTTGTTTCTCGAAGTAAGTCATCAACTGCTCCAGTATTCCACTGGCTTCACCATGTGTTGGACCTGTTGATTGATCTGTACCATCATCTTCATTTTCTGAACTGTGAATTTTTGTGTTTTTAATATATGCATTTACGATGTCATCTTCACTAAGAACCTGATGACCAACATCGGTGTCACTGTTTATCCATTCAAAAATATAATTTTCTTCCACGTCAGCACAACCTTTCAACTCTTTAAAAACTTGAATAAAAGCAATGTCTTCATTAAAAGTTAATTCATCTTGTCCTGTTTTTCTGGAGAAATATTAGGCCACAATTTTTTCCAACTTTTTTGAAGTGTTTCTTGTTTAATTTCTTCGCACGCTTCTGTGACTAAATAAAGAATAGTTTTTATTGTTACTTTATTAAAAGATCCATAAAGTTAACTAACGGGTTCGCTTCTTGTTGCTCTAAAAAAAACACGATCAACTTTTTTCTGTAAAGTCGTTTTGTCGTTTCAATCACACCTTGATCAATTGATTGTATCAATAACGTCACGTTAGGCGTCAAAAATATCACGAAAATTTCACCATCTCGTAATTCATTTTCACTAGGGTTGTCTATAAGCAATACACTTTTTTTTGGAAGTTTTTTCTGTTTCAAAAATTCCCTTATTGTAGGCACAAATTTCTCAAAAAAACCAATTTTTAAAAATATTTCCGTTCATTCAAGCAGATTTTTGTGAAGAGTATTGAGCTGAAGGTGCACTCATATTAACGTTTTTGAAAGCACTAGGCTTAGCTGATTTCCCGATCACCAAAAGTGGAAATTTTAAATCACCAGAAGCGTTGCTGCAAGGAAATAAAGTTATTCGTTCTTTTTTCACTTTGAATCCTTTGGCTAAAGAATCAAGTTTTGAGGCTAATGTTTTTTATGAGAGCATTTTGTAGTTCAACCCAGTTTCGTTAGCATTTGACAAGGCCTTAGGTTTTGAACGCTAACAAACTTTTCAAATTTGTTTTTGAAGTCTTCACTTGCAACATTATCACCTGATAAAATTTCACCACTTACACCAAGTTCACGAATGCCATGTCGATTTTTCTACTGTGACAACCATCCTACACTAGCAGTAAATGTAGTATCCCCTTTCAATTGTTCATTAAATTTTATCGCGATAGCTTGTAAAGTTACACCAGACAACGGAAGGCCCTGTTCACGTTGTTGACAAAACCAAATGTACAAGGCCTCGTCTAAAGCTTCGTAGTTTGGTTTTTTTAACGTGTGTCTGTTACCTAAACTGTCTGCGCTCACCATTTTGACACAAACATTTTCAATTTCTATTCGATTTTTCTTCCAATCAGAAACGGTTTGTTTACCCACTCCTAACTCTTGCGCGATTTTTGTTAGTAATACACCAGCATAAATACGAAATAAAGCTTGGAGTTTTTTTTCCATGGCTACTGTCACTTTCATACGTTTAACCGAAGTTGTCATTTTACACTGTTTTTAAAATAAGCGAAGGAAAAAATAAACGTAACGGTCGACACGAGTACACAATCACCAATAAACAAAACATTATCACAATATGTAATCGAAACTATCATACCTTAATCATGGGTATTACCGAATATTTCGTAGAAGTACCTACATATATGTACCTACAATTATGCTATACAACCTACATTGGTATAAATAATATTTATGTGTATGTATAGTACATTATAAAGGAGTTTAACTTTTGAAAGTGTTCCAGAAAGTCTGACACTTTTATATATATCATAAATTAAACCTTATATAATAAACTATGTTATAGAAAAAAAATTTCTGACTATATATTGTCTTCATGATAAAAATGGCTACCGAATGCTATTTTTGTCTGAAAATTTTCGATTTTTAATTTTACATTTTTTACTTTATAATGTTATAACTTATTGGAAAGTGTATGGATCAACACTTTTTTTATGAGAAATAATATTTATATCTCTTTTTCATTCGACATACTTTATCTTAATAAAGATATTAATAAGGATATAGCAGATCATATAGCTTGTAAGTAGCATTATTTTTAGTAACATTATTATGCTATAACTTTTTGAAAAATGTATGCATCGATATAATCTTTTTATGAGAAGTAGTATTTATATACATCTTTCATTTGACATATTTTTGTTTTAAATCGGACCATTTCCTTATATACAAGGGGGATTCATATCTAAAAAATGCATATAAAAAATAGAACTTTTTAACTTACCTTTAGAAAGTCTTTCGGAAAGTCTGATACTTGTATATATATCTTTAATTAAAGCTAATGTAATATATTTTACTTTGTAAAAAAAAATGTAGGACTTTATTTTATATATTGTTGTATTTTTTATATATTTAACTTTATAACGCTATAACTTTTTGAAAAATGTATGGATTATTATAATTTATATATTTATTCATATATTATTGTTATTAGGATATAAATAAGGAAATAGTAGATCATGTAGCTTTTAGAATAATCCACCAATTTTTTAAAATTAAACATTATCTAAAGATTTGCATCGAAGCGATTTTTATGATAGTAATTTTAATCACTAACAGATATCGTTATACTTGACCCAACTATGTCACATTAAGGTGCCTCTTATATTTCAAAGTCTTTTTCTTTTGCCCGGATGCCCCCTAGGATTGTTCTATAGGTTAAAAAAATACATTATGTGAAGTTTTGTGATTGTCCAATGATTTTTCCCCGTGCCGCAGAAGAGTTGACATTTAATAAATAGGGGTAAAAATCAGTTTTTACGTATAACTTGTTAAATTTTACTTGAATCAAAAAAATGTACTGAATAAAATTTGTTTAAAAAATAAACTTTTATTATAAAAAAAACACAACTAAAAAAAAATTCAGCACAGTGGGGTTAAGGCATAGTTGGGTCCAGTGTAGATTTAATTTGACAGTGATTAAAATCACTATCATAAGAAACGCTTCGATGCAAATCTGTAGTTAATGTTTAATTTTAAAAAAATTGATAGATAATTACAAAAACAACATCAACTTCTATTTCCTTAATTATACCCAGATTAGTAATTCTTTTAATTATATATTATATAATTTTTAAAATTAATTGTTTTCAAATAATTATTGATATTGATTTTTAATATGTAAAAAGTAATCATTTGAACCTACTTTTTTTGTCCTTTAAAGTGAAAGATTTAATAAAAAAAAAGTGAATTAATTACCATAAATTTTATCTCAACTTGCAAGTTTGAAATTGACATTATTAAATAGAAAAAATGAAATTGTTAAAATTAATATGCAATCAAGAAATTTTATAATTACTATATACAGTACACTTATCAGAAAAGTTCAATTTTTTTACACTTTTATCGTAATAGATTACTTAAATAAATATTACAGTAATCATTTCTAGTTAACTTTTGGTGTTTAAAAAGATTCTACAATGGATATATTCAGAATTTAATTAATTTTAATTATTATATTTAAAAAAAAAAAGTTGTTAAAATTATTTACATAATTGAGTGTGTTATAAAATTTGATTATAATTGTTAAGATCCATTATTAAATTCAGGTGAAATCATTTTTTTTTTAAATTAATGATTTATATAGCAACATTGATTTTAATTGTGTGTATGGAAAAAGCTAGTTAAGCTACTTTTTATTTGAATAAGGAATATTTTTTCGATTTTTAAGATTAATAACTTTAACTAATCATTAACTGAATTATCATAAACTTAAATGAATCATTTGACGTATCGTTGAAAAAAGTAGGTTAAGTGAGGGTTGGAAAAATAAATCGTAGCCACAAAAAGTACCACATAGTAAAATAATATTTATATGAATATAAATTTCTTCTCATGAGGTGAGACTATAGTGATAAGATCCTTTATATTTATTGAAGTTATTGAATCTAAATGAGATAAATATCAAATAATTTGAAAATTTTATTTTAACTCAAAAAAAAAATGCAAAATATTCATAGGTACAGACGGATTCGAACCTCGTACCCTAAGCGTGTAAGACACAGGTGTTACCCAACTGTTCGTTGCTTTTGTAGCATGATAAAATTGGCTTTTTAAACTAACTCAAATTTAAAAAAACCCAGCACAGGGGGATCGCGGCACAGTAGTGACATGGCATAGCTGGATCAAGTATAATGATATCTGACAGTGATTAAAATCACTATCAAAAAAAAACGCTTCGATGCAAATCTTTAGATAGTGTTTAATTTTAAAAAATTGGTGGATTATTCCAAAAGGAACATGATCTACTAGTTCGTTATTAATATCCTGATTCAGATAAAGTATATCGAATGAAAAACGGATTATTAAAAATTATTATTTCTCATAAAAAAATTGTGTTGATCCAGACATTTTCCAAAGATTTATAACGTTATAAAGTTAAAAATGTAAAATATAAAATGGATAATTTTAACACAAAAATAGCATACGGTAGCCATTTCACCTTGAAGACAAAATAAACTCCGAAATTTTTTTTTCGCATAATACAGAACATTACATTAGCTTTAATTTAAGATATATATAAAAGTGTCAGACCTTCCGGAACACTTTCAAAAGTTAAGTTGAAAAAGTTAATTTTTTGTGAAAAAGTTTTCATCTTAAACCCCCCCTTGTGGGCAGGTTAAGGGTTAAATTTATAAAAAAAATATACCAAATAAAAGGTAATGATATTATGCATCTATATAAAAAAGAGTTATATTGATATGTTCATTTTTTAAAAATTTATGGCTCTTTTAAGTAAAAAAAGTTGAAAAAATTTCGAAAGTTAGCGATTTTTAGTTTTATAATTTTTTTTTGAGATTTCCCCGATTTATGGGAAACGAGGAAGCTTTTTTTCAATTTTTGAGGGTAAAGTCTTTGACTAGATACGATTTGTGATCTTTTGACGTACCATTGAAAGAAATCGGTTCGGTGAGAGCTGAGAAAAAGTGGTAACAGACACACAAAAAAAAAGAAAAACACATCTTAGTAAAATAATACCTTCTCAACTTCGCATCGAAGCTAAAATAATGTTCATGTAAAAGTTGTTAATTATTTAATATTTGATTGGGTAATACTCTTTTAATACCTTGTTTGCTTCTATGCATTTTAAATGTATTAATCTACAAGCAATTAATTAATAATTCGTAATGAAATATTAATTTATGAACAATTAATGGATGGTCCAAGGTACAATTTTTTTTTTTTGGTCCAAGGTACATTCAAGTTCTATTTTAAATAATTGTTCTTTTGGGCATTTTGTACATTTATATTATAACAAAGGACCACACCATTCAATTAAATACAATAATTGACATAGGTTAACACTTACCTTATCAATTTGAGTTGAAAAATTAGAACATAACAAAATATGTTTTAAATTTTTAAAATTGTTTTTTTTGTGATAAGAAATGGTTTGCTACTTATCAAAAAAATACGCGCATTTTTCTTATCATTATCTAAATTATTTATTGTAGTAGGACTAATGATGTAAATTCCATCCATGAGATTTTTTCTCCCAATATTTTTTAAAATATTTACATTAGTTCAAGGTACAACACTCTCCCCTACGTACAGTTTTTTACAAAATATTAAACAATTTAATTTTAAACAATTTAACATGAACATTTTTTTTAAGGCGTAATCATTTTTAATCTGGCTTAAGAAAATTAACAAATTAAATTGAATTTGGGTAGTTAATTTAATAAGAAAAGTAGAACTTTACATAGTTAAAAATTAAACAAATGTTATTAAACACATTAAAAAATAACGACAAATTTTTCGTAGGGCCAAAACGTTTAGTAGTTTATTACATCGACTAATCGATAAAAAAAAATTGAGTTTAAAGGTGACAATTATAAAAAATTATTTAAATATAAAATTAATAATGCATTTAAGTTGTTTTCTTAATTTCTGAATCTTATTTTACATGATATTTTAATTGAAATAATTAAAATTAAGTTTATAATACTATAATTCAATTAAAAATTACAAAATGTAAGTATTTTACTTTCTGGTTCATCGGAGTTCGTAGATATTGATGTATCTCTAGGAAAATCAGAGCTGGTTAGTACTTTTTCATATTTTTGTAGAACAACTAATAATATGATATTTGCAAAGTACATTTTCTGAAAAATAATATCCAGTGAGAATTTAACATAAAAAAAGTTTTTATTAGATTAAGATAGATTATATAAATATTAAAACTTATTTTAAATTTGACATATATTTGTAACTAGATACATATACATGTATTTAAAACATTCTGCACTTATTTTATAAGTATAATTTTAACTAGTTGCAGTATGAAAGTAAAAAAAAATCATAATACAAACATTTACATGAATATAGTTTTAATTGCAATATTAAGTAAATTAATATACCAATATTACAATACAAAAGATAGTGTGGTTAATATGCAATTTGGTTAAGATTTTTTTTGTATTCATCCTTACAAAAAATACATTCTCCTGAAGTTGATTAGCTTGTGGACACCAAAAATTATACAGTAAACAAAAAAAAAAAAAAACAGAAATCACGGATTTCAGATGAGGGCTCTCAAAACCGAAACACACCACCACCCGTTATAGGACCGCTTTAGTATAAGCGCCAGACTGGTTCTCTGGTCGCGATGGAGTGCAACAACTCAGGTGTCGACAATCGGTGGTATGCATTAGTGACATTACAATTTATCGGCCTACAAACAACCACAAAAGACCGGATGGGGAAATTTTAGGAGGTCTAATTAAAAATTTAAAGAGCTTTGTGTTGTTCATAAGAACCAAAAAAAGTATATTCGTTTATTTTAGTTTTCTTTTATCAAAAAAAAATTTTTTAATTCTTTATAACATGTAAAATTATTTAGATTAATATATTATTTTATGTTAACAAAATATAACAACAAACATAAATAATTTCGAATAAAAATTATTAAAACATTTTTAATATATTTTAATTAAATTCCTTTCAAAGATAAGTAAATTACCCAGTATTTTAGAGCTTATTCCAATTGCGTCTATATGATTCCTAATACAGATGTAAGTATTAGGAATCATATCTAATTCTAAACGTATTGAAATTGAAGATTCAAATAAATCCTCCTTATTTTTAATTCTCAATCTGTTTTTATTGTTTTTAATTCTGAGGATTCTTGTTTATTAAAAGTCTCATTAAAAACTGAAGAAATTTTTCGTTTTACGTAATTCCAAGTTCAAAATTTTAATTTCTGAGAATTTTTATCCAATTTTCTAAAACTTTGTGGATTAAATGTGCCTGACACTTTGTAAATATTTTCACTTTTTTCAAATATTTTTCAATTACACTCAATAGAATATCATAAATTCAATAGTGAGTTTCGATTTTCAAATACTCTTCTACAGAAAATATTCTTATATTTACAGTAACTCAAAAATGAATGTAAACGTAAAAGGGAAGTTTTCTATAATTGCTACGATTAAAATGATTTAGTAAAATTAGTTACTGGTTGGTCCTGTATAAGCATGAGAATGATTGAGTTACTATGTGTTTATTGAATAAAATGATATAATTTAATTTTCTCTCGAGATATGAGTACGAGGGTTTCATAAGAAGATGAAATAAACATTAAACATAAACATTAAAGCAATGCTCATTATTTTTTTCGATTTTTTTAGTTTAAAGGAAACAGACAGTAAATCAAGTGTTTTATAAACAACTACTAGAAAGATTAAGAGAAAAAGTACGCCATAAAAGGCAAGAAGCGTGAAAATCGAAGTCGTGGTTTTTGCACCATGACAATACACCTGCGTATTCAGCACTTTCCTTCATAAATATTTGGCATCTAAACATATACCAGTGCTACCTCACCCACTATATTCACCCGACTTATCTCCCTGTGAATTTTTTGTGTTTACAAGACTAAAAAGTATTCTCAAAGGCCAAAGATTCGAGGACGTCAACGAAACTATCCATAACGCGACACAAAAGCTAAAGTCTATAACTATGGATGATATTCAAAGGTGTTTCAAAAAGTGGCAAGACCGTTGGGAGCATTGTATCGAAGCTAAAAGACTATTTTGAAGGTGATCCATTTAAATAGATTGTAAGATTGAAACATAATTTTGAATAAATTTTGTCTGGGTATTTATTGAACATACCTCGTATTTTAGCTATTTTAATAAAATAAACTGTTATTTATTCACGCTCAAGTCGAAAATTTCACGTTGTTAAACAATATTATATTGCAAAAATGGTATATTTAAAAGCGATTTAACAAAACCATATGTGTTAATTTAATCTGTTTTTGAATAATTTGTCAATGTTTAATTAATATATTTAAAAATATTTTGATACACATTTCGCAAACATTTCTTTAAATACATAAAGATTATTTTTCCCAATCGTCAGCTTGCCCCGCTCTCTCCTACATTAGAACGGGCTTTATCTAACTACGCTAAATATCTGCACATTGTTATTTAAATTTGATGACATAAAAATAAGTAGAAAATAATCTAACTAAGAAAAGCTAATAATAATTTTTGAACTTTTTGTATCAGAGTTATAATCACTTTAAAATATGGTTTGGGGTAAGATGCTGGTTATCTTATTTTTATTACAAGATATTTCTTGACCGTACTCCTAAAGGCATAAAAATGTTAATATCAACAAATATAACAATAAAATATAACGAATGTACAGAAAAGTACTTGATAATTGATAAGTCGAAAAATATGTGTATTTTTCATGATAGTGATGTTAATTACTGTCATATAATCTATACAAACCTAATTATGCCGCCACCCAACAAATAATTTTAATTATGAAATATACGGGAACATTTTTTTCTACATATGTTTCAAAATTAATTGTTTGTGAGTTTCATTTTAATTTTTGATATATTTTTCATTTACATGTGTTTTTAAATTTCGATGCGAAGCTGAGGAGGTATTGGTCTTACTATGATGTGTTTTTTTTTTTTTTTTTTCTGTTACCACTTTTTCTCAGTTCTCACGGAACCGATTTCTTTTAACGATTCGTCAAAAGATCACAAATCGTTTCTAGTCTTAGACATTACCCTCAAAAATTGAAAAAAAGCTTCCTCGTTTCCCATACATCGGGGAAATCTCAAAAAAAAATTATAAAACTAAAAATCGAAAATTTTTGACATTTTAAAATTTTTTTTTTACTTAAAATTGCCATAAATTTTTCAAAAATGACCAAATTGATATAATTTTTTCATATAGATGCATGGTATCTTTACCTTTCATTAAGTATATATTTTTTATAAATCTGACACTTAATATGCCCATACGGGGGATGTAAAATGACAACTTTTTCACAAAAAAATAACTCTTGAAATTGTTCTGAAAAGTTTGACACTTTTATATATANTCTTGAAATAGTTCTGAAAAGTTTGACACTTTTATATATATCTTAAATTAAAACTTATGTGATAAACTATATTATAGAAAAATAAATTTCGGACTTTATATTGTCTTCATGATATATAATTAATATAAGTTAACACGTTCGCCCCGACGTGGCCACCGGTGGCGCACGGATCAAATTTCGGTCAAAAGTAAATAACACTTACAGAAACTCCGCAATGCCATTTTATAGCGTACAATCACCATAGTAACCGTGTCCACCGGTGGTACACGTCGGGGTTTTGAAAAAGTTTAAAAATCGGGAAAGAATTTGTCGGGGCGAACGTGTTAACGGTCATTTTATGTAATTTTACACTATATTAAATTTTACTTAAAACTTAACCTAAACCCTTTAATTAAAAGAACGCATACAACTTTAATACCTGATCGCCCACCACATAGACTCAAAGTAAAGTAGAATCACGAGCTTTGACATAAAAAAATAAAAAAATAAAATTTATGAATTAACTTTAACTAATACTAATTGAATTGTTATCAATGGGTGACTTTCTTTAATACTATATTAGTGTAAAAAGTACTATAGTAGGTTTTTTGACATATTATAATAAATAGCATTTTTTGGATCAGCCTGTTCTAGAAGGTAGAAACGTATGTTTCGGCACACAAATAACAAATAAATTATTTTCACAAATAAATGTCAAATTATGAAGGATCTATGTCAATTCATTTTACCCTAACAATTAGGTATTTTTCAGCTATATTTCTCTTCGTGTCAAAACATAAAGTTATTTAGAACTTCTGAACTATTTCTGCAGAAGTCAATAGTATCAATTATCAAAAGTAATAAATTTATATTTTCAATTAATCTTATTAAAACTACATAATAAAATTGGTTATGACTTAAAATTATGTTAATGACTAGTAAATTGTATATGACTTACCATATTGAAGTTATTTGTAAGTTCTGTAATTCTTCGCTTAAAATGCTTAAATAAATATATTTATCCACTCGCGAGTATGTTTTATAATAGCATTTACCTAAAATTCTATTTGAATTAAAACATTTTTAAATAAAAAAATATCACACGTCATCAAAATAAGCACAAATATTAATGATCTATTAAATTTGATTATATTGCCATAAATTATATTATTTATTTCATTAATTGTTATTATGTCATTGAACTAAGGTATTTTAATAAAAACTTTATAACGTATGTCACTTTATCAATTTTTAAAAAAAAATACCGTAAAAAGTAATAAAATGAAGTCAGACAGTACATACACCACTAGTGACTAAGAGTTTGACAATTATATAAACAATGCAACTATGTTATATCAACAATTACTTAAATCCATTGAACCTGGTGATCGTGGTCAGTCGACTCAAACGCACATTAAGATTCATTATCAAACATCAGTCTCAGTACTCGGTTGTGTGATTTCCGACTTTTAATCCTACGTCAAGAGTTTGTTTTTTTCTTGACGCCTTTGCACCTACTTGGTTTCATTTCTGATTAAATTTAAGTTAGATCAAATTTCAAAGTTATTTTTCTCGACTTCAAAGAAGCCAAAAAATTTAAATAGGTTTGTCTTTATATGCTATGTCAATTATATTTATATAATATTTATCTTTGAACTTCTTTTGTAAGGATTTTAAAATAAAATAAAATACAAAACTGAGAATTTTAATACAAAAATAGCATATTCTTGAATACGGTAGTTATTTTCACCATGAAGGTAAAATAACGTTTGCAATTTATTTTTTCATATTAAAGTATATTACATACGCTTTAATTTTAGATTTATATAAAAGTGTCAATATTGTCGTAACATTTTCAAAAATTAAGCTGATAATGTTGCCATTTTGAACCCCTCTGTATGGGTAGGTAACGGATCAAAATATCAAAAAAATGATTTCAAATAAAAGGAAAATAAATAAGGTTTCAATATAAAAAATAAATATTTTAAATTGTTTATTTTTCAAACATTTATGGCAGTTTTAAGCATTAAAATATTTCTTGTTAAACAGTGATTTTTACATTAAAAAAACATTTTTCCTAAAATTTGACGGCCATTTTCCCCTAGAAGAAAAGGTGTTAGAACACATTTTTTTTGAACTTATAGTATTTATTGTAACCTTTAATTTAACATATATTTAATGCTCGGAGTATTTTTGTAACATTTCAAAAGTTCTACTTTTTACTTATTTTTTTTAAATTTAAACCCACCCCTGTGTAAAGGAAAATGGTCCGATATTAAAAAAGTAATGTTACCTCTAAAGTACTCCAAGCTTCAAACATATTTTAAAATATGTATATAAAAATAAGTATCAGCAATCCCATCACAGTTTCTCAGGAGGGTAGACTCCACTCCTGAGAAAAAATGTCTTATTCTTATTAAAATATTTTACTATATTTTTATTTATTTTTAATATGTTTATTTTTGTGTATGTCATTCATTTTTCTCAGCTCTCACTTGATCAATTTTAATGACTAAGACGTTACGAGAACACGATTATCTTGTTAAACTTATAATTACTAAATACCTCAAAATTACATTACTGTAAAAATTGGCTACTTCAAAAAGATTTTTTTAAACTAAATATCTCCAAATTAATAGGAGTATAAAATTCTTTTTCATACTAAATTACACAATAAAATTATATGATTAAAATGAAAAAATGATTATACAGATATATACTGTACTAAAATAAATTTTTAAACTGATTTCAAGCTTGAAATAAGTTTTTTCCTATCACCTCTGTTAGGGGCTTGTTTATATAAAATATTTTCTATTAATTTATCTGTAGTACTATTATCGAATGACCTAAATGTATTAATTATTTCAACTGGTAGTTCTTTAAAAAAATACTCTATGATATGTTTTTCCGACATGATACCTTCAAACCTACGACTTTCTGCTATTACTCTTACTAAAAAATTTTTAATCGATTCANTTTCTGCTATTACTCTTAGTAAAAAATTTTTAATCGATTCACTATCCGTCATTTTCATCATAATTAAATTTTTTTTTATTAAATTTAGATTATTGTAAGAGTTAAAATTAATTAATGACAGTTTAACATCTTCCCAAGTTAAATTTGTCGATCGATATTCTATAAATTCAAATATTTTAAGTGCATGATCCTGTAAATATAAGGGTAACATAGAAAGTTTTTTATTATCATCCCATTCATTCGCTTTTGCTACGCGATCGAAATACTTAAGATATTTATCAATATCTGTTTCCACATTTCCTGAATATGATAACGTTTTGATAAAATTCTGCATATTTTTATAAATTATACACTTATATAAAAAAAAAAAATGGTAGAAATTATTATTACGCTCAAACAGCAATTGACATTCCAGAAAAAATTATAATATTAATAATAAAAAATTTTACTTAAATAATCTAACTGTAACTCGTGTACACTTTAGGGAAATCGACTTCGTATATGAGTGCCTTAAAAAAAATAGAAAGTATATCTCGGAACTCGATTAAAATACAAAGACCGGCGCCTCCACCATATGTTAGGGGCTTGTTTAATAGTTGAGGATCTTGGTCAAAACCAAGAATCGGAAGCTATCCGACGTCTGCCCAAATATCGTCCCTATCTCCTTAAATGAGTTTTAATTGCCTGAAGGAGACACAGGCAATCGTGTACCTTAGTTACAGGGGATAGATTATTATATAAAATTAGACTATTGTTTTATGTCAACGACAAAGTAAAGTTATATTTTAGATGTTTAGTAAATATAAGTTATATGTAATGTACAATACGTCTGACCTGAATCCTAGTACAGTTGGTTAGTAGGCATATCCAGTGAGACGGAGTTGGTTGGCTATGATGACAATTGGCGATAGACGGGTCATTGAATAAAACAAGTTAAGTTATAAATAATATAAATAAGACGAAAGTAATAATATTGAAAACTATGTCTATAACGGCCACTCAAACACAACTGCCCTTTGTTAGTTCGACGTCAGTAGCTCCGGACTACAGACGAGTAGAATTGTCACATCAGCATCTCCCTCTATGCTAATTAATATGTATTACGAATTAAATAAATAGAAATAAAACGTGTGTAATATAAGTGGTAAGAACATAGTAATAAATGTTCTTACACAACTTTTTTCAGATTATTTTTAATTAGCTTCGCATCGAACCTAAAATTATATAGTAGTTTTTTTACGCAATTCTTTATTCATCTGATTGTATGGTGCTACCCAACGAGATGTATATATGTGCAATGTGGTTACAACAACACCATATTTTACGGCCATTTATAACATGTCTAACAAGGAAGTGATCTTCCTTAAATGATCTTAAGGAAGATACGTTCCTTATATTTAATTATATAGGTAAATTGAATATATTATTATTCTATAATAATTATGTAAAAATTACGTACTTTGTTCCCTGACTGTTAGCTTATCGTTAATAGATTCATTCATAGTTATATAGTGAATATACAATTTTTTTTCAAACATTAAAGAAAGATGTTACGACTCTTTAGTGAAAAATACACGAGTTATATACTAAAAGGTCATACATTAATAAGAGAGAAAACTGTATAATGATTATTATCAAATTGTTGTTTCCATCGATGAAATAACCTAAAAAAATTGTTAATTATATTATAATTAACGTATTGTACAATAATGTCTTTTCTAATAAATTAAAGGTTTGCGATATTTAAATATTCGTTGAAATATTCAATCGGCCAGAAACGCTAGGGAAAAATCTAATTACGGTCGTACAAGCGCGTCCGAAAATATCTCAACAGACCCACTTGTCGGTGTAAAATAATAGCGCGTACAAAATGGATTTTATCCACAGTCGGCTAAAATCCATTTTGTATTTATCTATATATTTATAATGTTCATGATTCTGAAATTTTCACGAGTATGTCGAACGACGTGCGACCGCAGGTAATTATGATTTTTTCACAATAATTCCCGTATTCTTTCCCATACGCATCTATACTCCGTACATCTCTTCGGCACGTCAACGTCAGAACTGGAGATCGTCACAACGAGTACGACAAACGATTCGACAACTATCAACTGTTAGTACCGTATAGACCAATAGAGTTACGAAAGGGTTAAGGAACGCTTTCGAAAATATAAACATACCCGACAACGTTGTTTTTTTGATTTGATTTTTTATTTAAATAATAATAATAATAATTACCTCGTTAAAAAAAAAATAAAATCGACCGATAACTTTTAATCTGATGGCGTGATGTGCGCGATTGAGCGCAATTTTAAACGGAAACGATTTCCATCGATAAAGTGAGCACCAGCGTCCTTCTCTCCTCATCTCCTAACCATTACCATTATTGGGAACGATTAAAAAATTAGCCGATTTTACAGAAAACTGTACGGTTTTTCGCTTTCATTGCCCTCCATTCTGATATCGTGGGAAATCGACATATTAGCAAGTATTTATTTTTTTCATTTCAAAGTATGCACACCCACCTCCCCCCCACCAACCGAGCAACAACCAGCTACTGGTTCTGATGTCATTTGAGGTTTTAAGAACGTTGTAACAATAATAACGCAATGTAATAAAGAACTCGACACGATTAACACATGCTACCACGGCCGCCCTTCAAGAAAACATATTGAAAACATTAGGAATAAGCGATGTAGCCCTTGGGGGGAGTCACCGCAATCGGAGTGGTACATCTACTCCGAGCGTAACGGACCGGCCAAAGTACTCGACAAGCAGTGGTAATCAAAAACAAAAAAAAACCTCATGTTTCTTTTGGCTTTAAGCTGGCAATCAAAGCCAAGCTTTGAGCTTCGGCGGGGTTCCAGACGGATTTCATCGGCTTGTAAAAAATGACTTCCAAAACGACCAGTAGATTCACCGATAACGATAGAATTTTTTTGTCCGCTATAACACGCGCCACCGCCACTACCTCCTAGACTCCGAAATTTCAGGTAGTTTTTTTTTGTTGTTTTGTTCGCCTCGCACTATAGTTTGTGTGTGCGAGTGTAGGTTAACAAACG